TGTGGACTGATGCCACATGAGACAGAACTTTACACTTCTAGGGGACTGATCCAGCAAGCTACTGAATGACACTTGTGAGGTATTACACACCCTTAACTCTCATTTTCTTCAGGACCAGGTTTTAGGTCAGTAGTTCAGCTCTGATGTAGGGCAGCAGTGCCTGAAAACTGTTACAATCTGACAGTTGTTTGCCATTTCTGTGAAATGAACTGATAACCCCACTCGTGACCCTAGTGAACTGACTCCCACAACACCCAAAACTTACTACTTAATAAATAGTTAGCAGTCTAGGCAGAAGGTCAGAGACTTTACCTGGACACTTAACTACCCTCTCACCTGTGGAGATTAACCCCTCTGGGCCAGGATTGAGGCACATGGGAGTAGAATCTTGTATTTTCACTACCCATGAAGTAGGAAGCAAATGGAAGACAATTATGGGATTAAATGGCAGATTTTCACTTAAAGGCACACCAGTGCCCTGTCTCCTCCCTTCTCCCAACCCAATGATAGCTGTATCTCCATTGAATCTTGTCCCTTTTGAAAGTTCATTTGGTGAGAAGTCTTTCTTGCCTTATATATTGTAATACTGAAATTGAATATTACAAATACACCTCTACCTCAATATAACGCTGTCCCCAGGAGCCAAAAAATCTTACCGCATTATAGGTGAAACCGTTTTATATCGAACTTGCTTTGATCCGATGGAGTGCGCAGCCCCACCCCCCCGGAGCACTGCTTTACCGCGTTATATCCGAATTTGTTTATATCGGGTCGTGTTATATCGAGGTAGCGGTGTATAAAGAAGAAATTAATATTTTAATTACTAAATTCTTATGAAAGCTCTTTTACAATCACTAATGTAGTCTCCTTGACACCCAGTGTTCTGTATATCACTCTTCAGCAGTACGGTGATGTCAATCAAAGACTTAAACATGAAGACCTTCCTCAAAAACGTTATTATTTCATCTTCAAACACAACACAAACCTTTCAATCGATCTATCGATAGGCCAAAACATGTACGTATAAAGATACATTAGCAAAACAGATGCAGATTTGTAAATATATTTTATACCCTCATTCTCTTGTTTGTGTTAGGAATCTTTAGAAATGCTTAAATGGATTTCATGACCAGGTGAAGTCTTTAATGAGTATCAGTCGTGGTAGGCTGATGAGTTTTGACCTTGGAGTGTAATGGTATGAGTCTTACCTGACAAATAACGTCGACTGTGAATATAACCTATGCTTTGCATTTTATTTACAAATAAGATAATATTGTTTCTTCCATTTGCTTCCTAGCTGTAACATAAAAAGTGATATTAATAACCATCTAATTTATCTATCCCTAGATAATTATGTATAGTATTTCTACCACTACATTTATAGTGGACTACATTGAGATGAATGGATTCCTTCCAGAACAGAATGACCTTTCAATGACTCAGACAGTATTTTTCAAAATGGCTTTACAAGTAAGTGGTGAAATATTGTATATATCTTAATTTAGAGGATACAACCTATTAACTTACAGAACATTTTATTTTTTTAAATGATAAACAGAATGATTTCAAACACAAATATTTTCTTCCCAACCAGGAACTATTGTTATTTCATGTAAGATGCCATCTGTTTGATCCACAAAGAATTTTATTTAAAAACGTATTCAACGAAATGGAGTCATTGCCAGGTCTTACATTATATAGCAAAACTTGCTTTTAAAGACAAAAATGTTACCATCTCAAAAAAATTGATTTGCTGCAATATTTTTGGCTAGTCTTGTTTTTGAAACTACTTTGCACAGATAGAAGCTATGGGCCAAATTTAGCTCTGATGGAATCAAAGTAAATTCCACTGAAGCCAACTATTAGTATATATTCTTGACACATTGCAGCTGCAGGTGTCTTTACAATGTGTACTTTGATTGATCTGAGTTTTATTTCCTGATCTTGATGTTTAGGGGACTGTGGATTAGGGGCATTCTGGAAGAAGTTGGATGGAGGATTACAGTGATAACTGAACCAGACAGAGCTAAGAATGACTGATTTCTATATAGGGAAGTCTTCAATGATACTACAACTTTTACAACTTACCATCCCTTTTAGGTAAGGAAATGAGAGACAGAGGTTCCATTATAATAATCTGAGCTAAGATTTTATCAGATCTCATATGATAATTAGGCCCACATCTGGTCAATGCTTGGATGGGAGATCACCAAAGAAAACCCTGATGCTGGAGAAGTTAGAAATTCAGTAGGTGGGACCATCCTTCCAAACTGTACTGAACCAAAGCTCCAGCAGAGTGACAGTGGGAACTGTGTTTTAAACTGAGTCCTGACCATTAGACATCATATACCTCATAGTACTGTTTGCAAGAGTAGGGGTGTTCATCACAGAATCCTGTCCAAATTCCAGTGTAGGGAACTACATTCTGCTTACCTAACTTCCTCTGTTTATTTGACCTGGAAAACTGAGCTTTCGTTTCCCCTATTAAAAAAATCTGTGAATTGTTGCTGGAGCGGGATGGTGGTTGCATTCTATCACACAGGTGGTTGACTTAGACTGGTGGGTTAATTTTTCTCTGTAAATATGACATCCTATAATGCCTTGATTCTTTTGAAAATCATTACATATATATATATATAGATATATCTCATTATATGAGAATATAATTCATTATTTTCATTCAAAGCTGTGCGGGTAAAAAGCACTGGCAAAATGTGTTAAAGCTATTTTCTTATATTTTGAATGCGCAATCATTTGTTACAAACACTTATAAAAAGTGACATGTAGTAACTAGCGTAGATTGGCAAAAAGTAGTGATGTTTATGGACGCTAATTAGCATACTTGCATGTTAAAGTTTGGGAGACGGAAATAAATCACATTCAATTACAAGAGCAAAGTATATCATGTTTTATAATCCTTAACATTTCTGGGAGCTACCATGTAAAAAGAAAAAAGTCAGTGTCTGTCTGGTATACTCTTAATAGTCTGTTTTTCTAAAGCATGAGTAGGTTTTTTCAATAAAAAGGTACAAATTAAAATGCTCCACTTCATAGGATGTTTTTCTTAACAGCAGAATCAGATATTTGGAAATAGCACTTTCCATTGCTCCCTTACTTACAAAGTACAGAGGTCAAATTAAACTAAAGTGATTTTCATCTATTATCTATAAAACATGTATTTTGCTTTTCTGATATTTTCAGTGTCACATTAATAATATCTATATTGAAAAGTAAGGGGTGAACTCTGTGGAAATCAGTTCACTTTAGCCTCAAAGGACAACAGTATTATTATTTAGCATTTAATTTATAGTTCTGTGGTTTTTGTTACCATTTATTAGAGAGATTTATGAGACTGTATGCATATATTTATGTAGGAACAGTCCTATAAAACGTCTCAGACCGCTGAAGTGTATTCTTCACAGACCTTCAAAATGTATTCAAGTTTTAAAATGAACATTGCTGTAACAATCTTTATGCTTACAGTAAATATTTCTGGATAAAAAAAATCGGTGTGTGACGTTGCACTCCATATGTTTTATGGAAATATGCTTATGAGTGTGAATATGATGTAACTGGAATATGCTTTATGCAAAAGGTCTCTTGTAAGGTATCATTACAAAGGTTATAACCTACTGAATATATTCTTCCTATTTGTATGCATGTATTATTCTTGTATCTGAAGCTAAAAATATGAACTATAACTCTGAGGTCCTATTGTAATTTTGCAAAGTGTGGGCCGTTAATGGTGGTTTAGAATCTTGGTGGCTCCCATTGATTAGGACAATTGTAAATGGCTCTGTTTACTTGCAAGCCTTTCTGTGTTCGTGTGAGCCAGCCCAGAAAGAATGGAGGCTGGGGTTTCACAGGACATGTGAACATGTTGCCTGATACTGGAATCCATCTTAAACCTCGTGCTTTTCCATTTAGAAGGAGGGGTGGGGACCCAGAGAGACAAAAGATACCCACCTTATGCCAAAGCTATAAAAGGGGGTGGAACAGAACAAAGGGGAGCCAGTCATGAGAAAACCCTGAGTTTCCACCTAAGATGTCTGCTGAAACTAACAAGGACTGTGCCAGGGGAAAGGATTGGGTCCAGACTAGGAAGGAGTCTAGTCTGTGAAAGAAGCTTATTGGAACATCTCTGAGGGTGAGATTTTACTTGTAATCAGTTTCTTAATGTATTAGGCTTAGACATGCGTGTTTTGTTTTATTTTGCTTGGTGACTTACTTTGTTCTGTCTGTTATTACTTGAAACCACTTAAATCCTACTTTTAATTCTTAATAAAATTACTTTTGTTTATTATTGAACCCAGAGTAAGTGATTAATACCTGGGGGAGCAAACAGCTGTGCATATCTCTCTATCAATGTTATAGAGGGCGGACAGTTTATGAGTTTACCCTGTATACGCTTTATACAGAGTAAAATGGATTTATTTGGGGTTTGGATCCCATTGGGAACTGGGTGTCTGGGTACTGGAGATAGGTGACCTGCTGAGCAGTTTTTGGTTAAAGTCTGCAGCTTTTGGGGCATGGACCAGACCTGGGTCTGTGTTGCAGCAGGCTAGTGTGTCTGGGTTAAAAGGCAGGGTTCTGGAGTCCCAAGGTGGCAGGGAAAACGGGCTCAGAGGTAATCTCATCACGTCACGTGACAGTCCCAAGGGGGTCTCTGTGACCGAACCCGTCACACTGTGTTAGATGTATTGTATATGTGTTGCATATATGCATCCTGATCAAAAATGTGCAGATGGAGTTAGAAATGTTGTATATTTTGCATAGCCTTAATAGAAACAAATCCTATTATCAGATGTTCTTAACCAGTTACACAGATTGCAGCCCTGAAGAGAACCAGTGGATAGAGTTATTGTTATGGCTAAGGCTCTCACTTTCACAGGACTGTCATAAAAACCGACCAAAGGACCTAATGGAGCCTCCTTCTGAGTCTGAACCTGGGAGGCTTTGTTGTTAAAGAAAAATAAATCTCAATTATTTGGACTCATAAACCTTTGTTTATTTAGATCTGAAATAACTGGTTTTCTGAGATATATGATAGACTGAATCAATTTTTCCAAATAAAACTCAAAGGGTTCCCAACATTCTACTTTTACTACATTTCTCAGAAGGATAACCTCAATCTTCTATCCTCCTAGCTTCTATCCAGGTCAAGGGTTACAGCAGCCCTGAAAATGGCCACGGAGAACTGTGGAAACCTATTGAAGTTTGCCTGCTAAGAATCATGAGGGGAATCTCCTGACAAGAAAATTTGACCAACTCAAACTAGAATAAAATTCTCCAAGCAGACTTCACTGTACTAAAGGAATCAGAGTTTTAGATTATTAGTGGGTTATTAGCTAAAATCAGTCTCCATGGATTTTAGTTTGTTTGATTACAAGAACAAGCACAGGGTGCACTTTTAAAAGGTGTCTTGTGTAGCTTTGAACATGTCAAATACAGATTTTCAATATGACAAAAAATGTCCATGTTCAGTATACTTGTTTCACTGTTACATTGGGTTATTGTTTTACTAGGAACGGTAAGCAGCGTTTCAAATGCTTTGTTTATACAGGGCTTTCAAGAGAGTTTAATAGTTATGCTTAATCACAGCTTAAACAAACCTAGTTGTGGCTGAAGCTGGTTAGGGCCAAACTGTATTATAAACTAGATCTAAACCATGCGATAGTGCACCAACCAGGCTGGATCTTTTCTAATCATGTTAAAACCCCGTTGAGTCACAGCTGTTAGGCACTTTTGTTAAACTCAACTGAAGGCCCTGTGTAAAAGGGGTCAAAATCTGAGTGTACTGTTACAGAAATGGACAAAATGCTGGATATTAGTGTTAAAATTAGCATATATGTTTAGAACCTCATCTTGCTGAATATCCTCAACTCCCACTCCCATTGACTTCAATGGGAGTTAAGGGTGCTCATCACCTCACCGGAGGTACACTGTAGGATAGATTATGTAATAGGTAAATATACTGGTTTTCCTTTATAATGCTACCATTCCTTTTGTATTTTATTTGAACAATGCAGGATAGTTAAGATAAAAACCTTTGTGACACATATTCAACCTGACACCAGTCATCAAAGGACCTAATGTTGCTGGGCACTTGCACTGCAACTCTGTGCTCCTTTTAAAATTACAAGGTGAAATGCAAAAGTTTTTCTGCATGTTTTCTAACAAGGATCTTCTTGACTTCATCAAAAGCGTTCAGAGCTTTTTCTCTGAGTGAGCTGGAATTCTCTGTAATGAAAAATAGCAAATTATATTACTGTAAGTTTCATGTAGTGTAAGTTTGGGATTTTTCTTTCCAGACTCAACAACTTGTTAATGGATTTGTTTCTGCCTCAGAAGTTTATACCCCTAAAGTGAAAGGAGATTAACTGATCAGCAATCAAAAATTGGTTCGATGCTAACAGCAAAAAAGTGTGAAATTATGTCTTTGTCAGTTTTGTGAGAAGGAAAAATATTGTATTTGGACAGAACAAAACAAAAAAGACATTCAAACAGCTTGTTGAAAGTCAGAGTAAACTGTTCTCTTTGACATCACTGTGAATTTTGCGAGAGCAAGCATAGCAAATATGGCCCTGTTGACTGATGCTTTGCAGTTATGTTAAGAAAAGGAAAAATACCAGCTTGCCACGAATTACCAGAAAAGCTATGATAATCTTTGCAAGAATTAAAGTAAGGAATACTATGTTTAGCAACGCACTAGCAACAACAAGTAACAGATACTTGAGTTAGCAAAATATAAAGTAAAGTAAATAAAAGATAGTTGATTATGTAGCTGGAAAGTTAGAAAAATACTAAAAATAAGATATGTCTGTGAAAAAAGGAAACAATATAAATGAAACTGTAAACAAGTTGCATATAAAAGTGTCAAGATATAAGCAAATAACAGAACCAGACAGTATCAAAATCAGACTATTACTAGCTGCAAGGCATTCTCCAGATTGGGGTAACATATGCCTTTCTGTTACGTGCTGAATAACAATTGCTTAATAAACTCAATCAAGCTGACTTATCTTAATTATGAACTAAATTCAAACCTATAAAACATATTTATTATTATCAATTCTTATCAATTGACTATTATTAGGTAACAGGCCTATAGAGTTTAGAATGGGGGGCAAATACTATACCATAGAGGTTCTTGAACTGGGGTCTGCAGAAATAGTTCACTGGTCTCCAAAACACCACTTGTGTCTTTAGCAAGCTCTGTTAAGAAAAATGTGAATTAATGCTTTAAACATATGACTCGAATTGTAGCATTTAAGCAAAGCTGAAGGCTTCTGTGAACATCCTACAGCACAGTATATAGTAATAGGGGATAGAAATTCTTAGATTGTAACAAGATGGCTACATGGAATATAGGAGATGCAGAACTAAAATTTTTCCCAAACCAAAGACGTTAATGCACCATCTCCTTAGCATTATAATCATGAAGGTTAGAAAAATCATTGAGTCCCATCTCCACATCAGTGCCAGGTTTCAAATTGACTGAAAGCAGACAGAACAGCACCTCTGACTCAATAAAATGAAACTTTCAACATATACACTTTTGCGCACTCTCTCTTCATATTAGTACTGTATCCATATCTGTATGCAACTAACATGGAAATAACTAAATTTATGAAACATTTTATACTATTAAACTAAACCAGATTAAGCCCCACTTTGTGCCAAGGCTGCATGTCTATCTTAGGAGGTTTGTCCAGTATTATTGAGACAATTTAGTTATTCCAGTTAAAACATTCTCAGATAGACCAGGCCTAAGGTATCAGCTCAGCTTCTTTCAGAAGCAGGCTGGGAATAAGTAAGCCTAAGGGAATTTTAACTGGGTATAAGGGAGCCTAACTTCACTGCCTTACATATTACCTCTGAATTTGGCCTTGGAAGTCCTGATTCCCATAAGCAGCTGACAACACTGCATTGTAGGATGATGCCAATAAAGGGCCTGATACATCACCATGAAATGACATTTTTATGTTGGCATAGCAGCACCACTGATTTCAATGGAATCACAATGTTGTAAAACTAGTAACAGGCTGCATGTGTATATATGTGGAAATATAGATATATAGACACATATTTACATGTATCTATTTATCTGACATACATGGATACCTACAAAAGTGGTGGAGATACCCACATGAAAAATGATGGAATTTTGTGATAAATTGCATTTTTGTACACTTTTGAGACTTTTGCCTGCATTTGTTCACTAAGGGTACGTCTACACTTACTTCCTGGTTCGGCGGCAAGCAATCGATCTTCTGGGATCGATTTATCGCGTCTTGTCTAGACGCGATAAATCAATCCCGGATCGATCCCGGAAGTGCTCGCCGTCGACACCGGTACTCCAGCTCAGCGAGAGGAGTACGCGGCATCGACGGGGGAGCCTGCCTGCCGCGTCTGGACCCGCGGTAAGTTCGGACTAAGGTACTTCGAATTCAGCTACGTTATTAACGTAGCTGAATTTGCGTACCTTAGTCCGAAGTGGGGGGTTAGTGTGGACCAGGCCTAAGCTATTTCTGCCACTCTAACATTCTAAACTTCTGAGAAGCTTCAAAATACCACCAAAAAACTCCAGAACAGCCTATCACAAATATTTGTATTTCCTAACAGTGTATCCCTTTAAACTGGGAAATAGTCAACTCTGGACTAGTAACATATTCAAGGTCTTATACTGTATTTTGTGACCCATTAGGACTAGAAATAGGAGTTCTATATTACTGGAAAGCTAGGAATCCCACTGACATACATCCATTGTTTCTAGCCCTAGTTGGTCTTGAAATACTTGATATTTAAACTGTGATATTTTAAGTATGAAAAAAGCTATTTTAGATAAATTTTAGAAACATCTAAAAATTATTAGAATTATAGCTATAACTTTCTTTTTTCTTGAAAACCCAAACAGCCTATACGGTCAGTCCCCTGTACAGGTGGAGGGATAAGAAATCTGGCACCAATAAATTGTTAAAATTCCCTCTAAAAATATTTTTCAGAAGAGTTTTTTCCCCTGTAAAATATGTAACATATATGGAGACACTGATGGTGGGGGTTGGGCTGAATGTTTTACTGGCACATCTATGGGATTATCTTCTACACAACTCAGCCATGGCTTTCCCGTTTGTGAACAATGAGACTCTTGCCAATAAAACCATACCATCATGCATTCTCTCTCAGTCATTTTGTGTGTGTGTATACATATGGACAGATAGATATACAGATGGACAGACATGCATTTGTGTGTATGTGCATATGTAATATATATAATATATATAAGGCCCTTTGTTTTCAGATTTTACTGATTTTTACCTAAAATTTCCTGGGTTTTACAAAAGCTATTTCTTTTTTTACCTATTTTCACCTAATTTTAGACCACTTAAGTACCTGAAAATACTGATTATGTAAAGCAAATCCAATCCAATCCATTACATTACATTAGGTAGATGTGTTTATGTTAACAGTAAATTAATCTAAGTGTATATGCAAGGCTGTCTGTTAAAGTAAGTCAATGCATTGGAAGATACACACATGTGCATGTATGTCAGTATGTGTTTGTCAGCGTTTGAGTCCTAAAAAAGGAAATGCCGGAACTCCCTGGATCAGATTTCCCATTCCGGAAGGAGTAATGGCGTCTTGGTAACCTGTTGCTTTTTTTGGTCCTTCCATCCCCCAATATTAATCCCATTATTTACCCAGAAAACTGTGACGTTAATTGTTTGCACTGATTTCCATCCATTTTTAAATGTTTGTAATAACCCCAATAAATTCCCAGGAAATTGTAAACAAAATAAAAAACTGGAAAAGAGGGGCCTTGCACGTATGATAAGATGTTTCTGATGTATTATAATTGTTTCTTTATTGGCAATTATAATTACTGGGACAAATTTTCAGAGCATCTAAGGTCTCGACAGCTCCCTTTGTCCTCAATGGGAGCTGCTAAGCGCTGAACATTTTTGAGAATTTAGCTACTTCATTGTGTGTCTAAATGGGAACTCAGCTCTTTTGAAAATATTGCCCATTATTTGTCTGGCACCATTAGTGTGCATGGAATTTTACAGACACAGGGTGAAATTCTGGCCCCATTGAAGTCAATGGTAAAACTCCAATTGACTTCAGTGAGGACAAGAGTTCACCCAAACTCCATGCACTCAGAAGTTTTTAATGAAAATGAAATGTATAACATCTATTTTTTAGACTGTATATTCTTCAGGGCAGGAAAGTTGGCACTTAATGATAACTAACTAACTAATAATAAAATGAGAATTCTCAACAGCCCTACTGTCTGATGCGGGAATCCTCCCTACAAAAAAGAAGAAAAGTCATTTTGGGGGAAGAGGAGTGCTATTTACAACAAATTTTATGCAAATGTTTTTGTTTTTATTTCAGCGGACTTGTTTGTAGCTCTGCTTATAGGTAAAGAAGCAAACCAAACCAAACTCCAAATTAAAAAACAAGCTAAAAGCAACACTCAATCTGGACTATATTGGAAAGGAAATAAATAGAGGTTACTTTAATTGTGGTAGCTTTTGCTATTAATTTACACGAAGTGCTGAAAATATTCAAGTTAGTATGTCAAATAAAAATTAACAATGGTGCTATTGTATTACCTACATATACACACACATGCAAAACAACATATATACAATGTGTTGCTCTGTGTGTGTATATATATATATGCAGCAGATGTTCCTGTTGTTTCTATCTGAGTTCTTACCCCATTGCTGCATGTTATACTTACCAAAGCACTAATACAAGGAAGCATACTGCATTTTCATTATACATGTTTCCAATTGATACAACATATTCCGTATAATTTGACTCAGTATTAGCAAATATGGCTAATTTTCTGTCAGCTATATATGTATTATAGGCTCTTCATTAAACTTTTTATAAAACTTACCCATGATAGGCTATAGTATGTATATCGTCAAGTTGGCTTAAACCAAATGATGAGATATGATCCATTATTCTCATCTAAAAATTACTTGCCTTTTCAAAGTTCATGAAGCTGTTCTTAGTTATATGCTGTAGAATGTCGTGGTGAGGCAGAAATAAAAATACTATACCAAATAATACCACAATCAGCAAAGTACGTGTGTCCTATACTTGCAAAACATTTTCCAATTTTTTCCATCCTGTAGTAAGAGGAGGCCCTGAGATATAAACCTTGGTATCAGAGGCCTGGTATGAGGCCTAAGGCCTGAACTAAAGTAATGGTCAAGACTTTGCTAACATAAAGCAAAGTTAAGCTGTGAGCCAGAGGCAGGCCCTGCTCACAGAAGCTGGCAAGGAAAGGGCTGATGCTGCAAAAAGAGACATAGCTAAAAGGTACTGGACACCAGATATCAGAACATTCGCATACTTGTACATTCCACACACAACAAGGAACAGGCTGACCCATCCCAATGACAGGGCCAAAAGGGGAATATGATGGATAGTGTTGTTTTGATCGAACCAACATGTACAAGGTGAGAGGCGGCACCTTACTACGTAGAAGGGTTGTACCTTGCTGCGTAGAGGGGTTGCACCTCAATATGTCAGGAGTGATGTGTAACTTGTTTGTACCCGTGTATAAGAATGTATCCCAGGGGTGGTGTCTTTGTCCGGCCGAGGGGGGCAGTGGAAAGTCCCGCCACTGACTGAGCCGGGTCCATTGCCAAGAGGCACTTTCTCGTAGTATGCCTGGTAGACTAAGTAATCTACGGGGAATTCCAACTGTGTCCGAGGTCGCAATAAACCTGGTCGACGTGACTTTGCCTCTTACTAGACTCTGTGGTCATTGGGGGTTCTCTTCGGGTCTGCTGGGTCAGCTATCTGCGCAGAGCTGGGGCAGCACACAGAGGGAACACACGCACGCAGCCGAGTGGTATCAACATAGGAGAAAGCAGAGCACCACACCGGTAGCATCTCACAACACATCCCAATAAATGAAATTTAACAGAATGCTTTCTTTCTAAAAGCAGATTTGGCCTCCTCTTTTAGCCATGTATTCTGAGTGGTATACTTAAAATAGAGGCAGTTGTACTTGGTGGTTTTATGAATATAAAGATTAATGAATTTGTATAATTTGGGCATGCAAAGCATTTTTATTAGGCACATTCTATTCAGGGTAAGCAGTAAACCGTATATAAGGGTTGTGTCAAAGTTTACTGAATAGGGCCCTTGGTAGCTAATGTAACGTTTCTCCAACAAATCAAAGGTATTGT